ATTTTTCATTGGATGAAGAAAAACAACATACAAGTAGGCACCGAAGGGTGGAAAGAAAGGTGTATAGTCAATTTTGTTTGGAATGGAAGGGCAAAAGCGTGTAAAGTGGGGAGTGACTTTTTGAAGAAAGCAAAATGGCATAATCCGAAGTGGGGGAGTATGTATTGGCATTTTATTCTCCTCTCATCTTCCAACCTTTTTTTAGTGCTAACAACACTATATATATATATATTATAATTTTTTAAAGAAATTAGTATAGACATATTATTATCTTATTTTAGAAACTTGTTTAAAATTTTTTTTAGTTAATATTTTAAAAAATGAATATTTGATTAAATATTTTATTTATATACATAAAAAATATCAATTTTAAATTAAATCTAACATTTATAATTTTTTATAGAATAAACTTTATTTACTTATACATATTTAATAGTATTAAATTTTTTGCATAATTAACTAATTGGTTAAGTATATTAAATTAATTTAAAACTTAACATACATAATTCATATGAAAAAGAAATGCAGAAAGTAAAAATCTCTAATAAAACCTTTAGATTCAAGTAATTCACCTCTAAATTTTAAAGTGTTTGAATTAGTTGGTTGAGATTTTAAACCTTACCAACGTTTTAAAAAAATCTCACTTCTAAAATTGTAAATTATTCAAAAAAGAAAAAAAAGTACAAATCTCGAATTCACCTCCAATAGAGGAAAAGAACATATTGTCACTAAAAAAATATAGATAAATTATTTTTTAAAATTATTAATTAAGATAAATTATTTATTATTTAAAGTATAAAAATATCATATATTAATTTTTTGTTAAAAACATGTTTAGATGACAAATAAATTTTTGATATATAAAAATAAATATTTTTTTAATAATTTATAATTTTAGGATATTAAGAGAGGGTGATATTTTAAAGTGTTGGTGAGACTAAAAAATCTGACCAACTAATCTTAATATTCTAAAGTTTAAAAGTGAATCACTTAGAGTCGAAAAATTAATTTAAGTGAATAATTTGTTTTGATTAACAACTTAAAAAGCCATTTATCTTTTTTAAGAATAAATCCGACACCATTCTCTTATTTAAAAGACAATTTGAGATTCTGACTATTTATAGTATCTCTACATGTATTAATAACAAAAAAAATACATGTTAAATAGATTTTTTAAATAAAAAAAATATCAAAAAAAGAAAAAAAGGAGAGAGTGTAAAAGGACGTCTCTGGCACTTTTTTAAAGTTAGAAATATTATGACAGTTGGCAATTTGAACTTCCTCAACCTTCTGATGCTTTCGAAGCGACATGAGTTGAAACTTGAAACCTTCACGACTCATATACTAACCTTTTAGAGTAAAGTTTAAGCTATTCTTCAAAACTTAAAATTAAACTATACCAATAATGATTGATATTTTTTCCCATAAAGAAAATGAAAGTTGATATTTACCATTTATATATATATATAT